TAGACAATATAGACATGGCCATCTCTTTATACCCCTTTGTAAATATATTTGTATTCGGTGACTTTAATGCTCATATAGTCAGTCTGGTTCACTTTCACTCCCTGTAACCCTCTGAGTACTAGTGGCATTCCCGCCTTGTTTTAGGTGAAATTATTTAAAAAATTGTGTCTATTATTTTAAACTGGCAATGAGATATACAGGTAAGACATAACAGCACGCTAATTGCAGAAAATATATAATGGTTTTCTTTCTGTTAAGATGTTCAAGATTATGGTGCCAAGCATCGTCGTCAGCACCTGCTCGCATTTGATCATTGGGATCGTCATCTTATTCCCTTTCTCTCCCTCTGCTGGAGGTGGCAGAGATGGCTGTGAAGACCCAGCCTAGTTCTGAAGAGTCGTGAGCAGGAGTCACAGTGAAGTGTAGACGATGGACACAGCTGGGCGAGTCCGGCCCTCCTGACAGCACCATGCAGATCATGTTGGACGCGAAAGTCTCAGTCCTCACTCTAATGGTCCTACGCCAGGAAGGTGGATTTGCAGTGACGGTTTCCCAGATCTTAGGGTCGATGTTGGTCTGGGTCAGGGATGTCTTCAATTGATCGTTGAAGTCGTCGTTTTGCGCATCGGCGAAGCCTCTTGCTGCTGGCGTGTTTTCCAAACAGGACACTACGTGGTAGTCGACTGGGACGCATTCTGGACAAAGTGACCTGCCCAGCGGAAGCAATGTTAAAGGAAGGTAGCCTCGATGCTGAAGAGAGATGTCTGAGAGAGGACCGCGTTGTTGGCGATGCGGTCCTCCCAACTGATGCTAAAGATTCTTCGGAGCTTCGTTTCCTGGAACCGTTCTAGACGTTTGCTTCTTTATAAAACATCACACCATGACTGATCTAGTTCTCATGAAAACGTAGCAATCGACTCACATCTGTAATGTATTGAATAGGCTAAATTTTTTAATCTTCAGTATTGGCTTTTGCAAGAATACGAACACTGAAAATGGGTGCGTGGTCGAGTGGTTAGAATATTCGCTTTCCGACCATGAGACCCAAATGCCGATTTATCAGGAAGGTGTTATCATGCGGCACCTCCGGGAAAGGCCTAAAAACCATAACACTGGTTGAGTGAATTTGGGTAGAGAGAAGTATTTGGAAGCCGTCGATGATTGTGTTACGACGAAGCCACAAGTCATCGTGACCGATAGTTTGAGTGTACTGGCTTTGTTCAGACTGTTGATCTTACTAGATAATGAGCCCTCTCTCATAAAACTGCAACTAAGACCCGTTCAGCATAGTTGCAGTATAGATCGCAAGTGGACTTTGTGGGTGTTGAACAAACTCAAATGTACTGAGCAGGAGTCTCCAACAGGGATTGGCTAACCGCCGTAATAGGTAGTCATACTCGGATACGAGCGGCCAATTGCCACCACTAAAAAAAAAATTAATTTATTTTTGCCATGCAAGATGACATAATATCTTTTTAAGTATTTACTCGAATATAAGCTAATTAGGAAATATATATTAATAGTGGTGATGCGTGATATAATGTTGATCTTCTTTGTTCAAAATTAGATTCATGTTTCGTTTTGAATGATGAAGGTCATTTTTGTGATGTATAAATAAAAGAAATGGAAAATTTGTTTAAAAACTGGAAATGTTTGTTTTATTTAAATTAAAAAGTATTAAAAATGTAAGATTATATCGTTACGTGAACTCATTTTATAGTGACACACATATATATTCATTTTTTGGTCTTGTTGATTTTGTAAGCTTTTCGCTTATATATATATATATATATATTACACACACACACACATATACACATATATATATATATATATAAAATAACTGGGGTAGAGGAAGATTTGAAAAATATTTTCAGTATATTTTTCTTCATCAGTAGATATTTGGGCTGCAAAGTCTAACGGTTTTTAAATAAAAGCACCCATAATTCTGCCAGATTTTATTTATAAATTTAAAATTTATTTTTTAAAATCCTCCATTATCATATATATTTCATATATAATATTAAACGAATATATATATATATATATATATATATATATATATATATATATATATATATATATATTGATAAACTGTTAAGTAAATATCATATTATAGAAAAGTGATTGAATGATTTGTTTTTTATGGATTATCAACCTTTTGTCGGTTATTTAAAGCTGAAACAAATTTTGGATTGTAAGAATAATTTTTTTATTTTCTTCAGTTTTTTTAATATTACATTAATAATTTATTTTGGGAGATAAGAATATTTTTCCAGGTACAAGTCATGTTATTTAACCCATAGTCGGGGGAGAGATGGATTCATAGCTTCTCAGTATTATTTGCGCGTAAGTGAATGCAACGATTTTGACAGGGATTCGAACATTTCCGATTCAGAACTGCTGTCCATTACACCACCCGCACATCCTGTTATAAAAGAGGGAACGAAAAATCTTTGATAGACAGATGGATAAATAGGGAAAGGGAGAGAAAGATAGAGTGAGAATAGTATTTTTTTCTCAAGTATCATTCACTTCAATTTGGTTGTTAAAAAAGTAAAAAACATGTCGCAAAAGACGAAAAAGAAAAAATATCGTCATCAGTTATTGGAGGGTAGCGTTCGGCGCACGCATTCGCGGTCACGTGACGCGCAGGCGTCAAGTGAACGCCATGTTGGATCGGGAAAACGACACAATGGAAGAAATCGAAGATAATTAAAGCCGGTCGATCAATTGTAAAAACGGCAGACAAGAATAGGCACGCAAACAAAAGATGGTGGCGGTATTGTCTGGCAGGTTCTGGAAACATAGGCAAGTAGATGTACATTGAGTGTATGTGGGAGACAACTTAGGAAACAGGAAGAAAAGAAAAGTCACAAAAAAAACGTGAAAATGGATAGGAGCAACAGAAAAGAGACTTGGGCGACTCGGTGTGGGGTAATAGTTAATGAGCTGTTTTGGTTGACCATTACAACTGAGTAGTAAATTCGCTCCACACTAGGTGCCCTGTGCTTGTGAACTTGTGCCAAGCTATGCTAATCTTAGTAAAATGTTAATTGATCGTAGTCAATAAAATATTCTCGGGGATCATTATTAGTGAATTTGATCCTCACTAGATGCTCCATATTTATGACCATGTGCCAGAACTGTAATACCCTTATTAAATAACTTGTGGGCAACTCGTTAGCAAGCCGTTCTTACAGATCATTATTAGTAAATTAGATCCTCATCTGGAACGTCTGTTACGTCTCAAAATCACCGCAGGTATCAAATCGAACTCATATATACGATCCATTCCTAAAGATGCTCAATAAAATGGCGGCTGTTTATAAAGGGTCGATATTTTCTGGCGCTGTTACGCTCCATAAAATCGTCTGATTCCTCCTAGCTTTATATTTACGAGAGTTAGATCAGATAGAGCTGCCCCATGCACACTTTTCAGCCTTGATAAAGTTTAAAAGCATCGACGTAGTCTTGTAGGTGATGAATTATATTCTAACCTACTACATCTTTCCCATAAACGAAATGTCGCACCCCCCGATACTCTATCGTTATTTGTACGGAAAAAGTTCTGACGAGTTACATTCCTCAGTTCCGCCAGTTCAGACCTTTACAGCTAAGTCCAGTCAGCCATGCCACATATACAGAGTCGGACCGTCCTTATCTCCTTCGTATTCCATTAGGAAATTTCATTGAGATAACTTCTTCCCAGGAACTGCTTCTCCGTGAGACCGAACCCTCGAGAGGTTGCTCCTCTTATCTCTAAAATCTTAATCTCTTTAAGCCAAGGGTCAACCGTCATCTATACTACATATTCACATAATCAGTACTTACCTCCGCCTCTTACGTACTTACAACAACCACATTCAGTAACGCTCTACTTTGAGTGGCTCTTGGGACTTGTATTGGCTGAAATCTTGCTTTATCCAACGTTGTTATTGTATTTTTTAATCAGTTGTACTTCCTATATAAATAAATATATTTCCGAATCATATTATGTGTATTTTCTTCAGAAGCACGCTCTTCACCACGAGATAAGCAAATGCCACAAAACAGCAACTACGAACAAATAATGTAAAGGACGAAAGAAATTAATTTGTTCCAGATGCAACTCGTTTTCTTTTAAAATATTAAGACAAAAATTACATTTGTATGGGTTTCATAGCAGACGCACACTTTAGACTCGATTTGTTCAGGTAAAATTTCTGGCGGTGAAAAACACATTAATTTGGAAATCCTTGCAAAAATCAAATAATTGTTGGATTTTAATGAAACTTTCAGAACTTATTCAGAAATGATTTAAATTATTTTTAAAATGTTTCGTTTTTTAGAAAATCTTGATAAAAATATATATTTTTTTACATCTCCAAACCCGACTTATTTTATTTGATGAAATTTCGAGAAAGTTAATTTTTTAGTGCTTAATCTTTATAATAGTTATAATTCAAATAATCACATTTTTTTTGGTCTAATAGGATCCCAAGTGAAAAAAATCTGCTCTGAATCGTAAAATAAAAAAAAGCATTAAAACTAAGACATTATTTAATTAGAGAAGCTTTTAATTGCTTTTATAAATGTTATTTAAAAACAGAAAAAATCTTTAGATTGCAAAAATTTTTTTGAACTCTGCTCTCCAATTCCGAGCCATTACACCACCCGCACATCCAGGTTTGCAACACCTGGTGTTTCCAAGCGGTCTGACCAGGCTCGACGTTGCTTAACTTCGGTGATCATACGGAACTCAGTGTTTCAACGTGATATGGTCATCAGCCTTCTAAATGTCAGTGTATATATTTATTAAGCATAGTCTGGTACAAGACCATGGGATCTGTGCATCTATTTAAGATCGCGCTCACGACAGGATCAGTGATTTGTATTTTTATGAATTATCAGCGTTTTGAAGGTTATTTAAATCCAGAAAAATGTTTAGATGATGAGAATTTTTTAGAATTTGGCACTGAGTAACAATTTCGAGCCATTAGTTCACTTGCACATCCAAGCTTACAGCATCTGGCATTGCCAAGCGGTCACCCATCTAGGCGCTGACTACGCTCGACGTTGCTTAACTTCGGTAATCGTATGGGAACCGGTGTTTCAACTTGATGTGGCTATGAGCCTTCAAAACGTCAGTGTAAATATATATTTATAAATATAGTCTGGTACAAGGCCACATGAGTTGTGCATCTGTTTAGGATCGAGCTCAGACCAGGACCAGTGGTCGAGCAACGTATTTTGCTCCACGGCAAGCAAGCTTATTTTTTAAAAAAGCCCGTATGTCGTATGCATATTCACACAACTGAAGCGACTGTGAGGTCGTCTTGGTAATAGTAATCAACCATAATTACTGATCAGTGAGTTAGTTCCTTACTGGGTGCCACATACATGAAACGCCGTGCTAAACTGAGCTTAATACATGACAAAGAGCACAATAACTGAAAAAAAAATATAATTCAGTGAAACTGCAGCTGACAGATTCTAAAACAAAATGGCTGCAGTTGTACGATCATTCAGTAGTTATATTCTCTTATATTAATTGCTTTCCAGACCATGTTCTGGGAGGAGGCGTTATCATTATTTACACCATTTACGGCCTTCATCATGTGCTTACCGATAACCTTCAGTGAATTTTGAATTTTTATTTAATCTATGGGAGTAAATTGTTGTCACTCTGCTCGCCAGTGATGTTCAGGGATATGCGTTGTGGTGTAATCGATATGAGAAATCGGAGAGCCGAGTTCGAATTCCATTCGGATCTGTTACATTCATTACGCGCAAATACCCCTGGGAAAGGTAGGAACCCATCTCTTACCCCTCCCCACTCCAATTATGGGTTGAATAACAGGATAGACTGGGTCCTATAGCCTTAGTTGGCAGCCAGTCTACTGTAGTAAGAAACGGCCATCTACTGCAGGAACATCTGCCGAGTTAGTCATGACTCGAAAGAGACATGATCGCCCCACGTGTTTCATGTATGGCACTTAACTAACTGACTGCTGCTTAATTGTTGCTCTCCTCGCTTCCAATGATTTCCATAACCCGGAAAATTCTACTGAATATTTAAATGTTTTCTTATCGTTTCTCATCCGCCATATTTGTTATTATCTCACGCTGCATCAGTGTTGGAATCGCCACTCGTTATGTACCAACCCTATATCACCGCTATAATCCTATACGACATATATTATTTTTATACAAAACTATCTTAAAAGCTGCTCTATTGGGTGGCATTTTAGCTAGCTCCTATGGAGAGCTCTTGATTGATCCTTCATCACAATAGGAATAGATGCGATAGGCAACAATAAACTACAGAAGAACTCAAAATTAACCTCTGCATTTAAGTATTGCAATAATATTTAAGCTCACCTTTTAAAAGTTCAACGATAATTCTTCTGCCGCCACTTGATTTAAAAGACAATTTGGTGTACGTAGAGCCTTACTTTTCGTACAAACAATTATTTTTACTTCATGGGTGACTTTTTTTTAATTTCGCAATTAATTTCAATTATTTCAAAATTTATTTCCAAATTATAAAAATTGTTATCGTACAAAAAAATTCGTCGCAAAAAAAAAAAAAAAAAAAAAAAAAATCACGTAAAATATCGTCGAAAACAATCGCAGTAAATTGGGAATCCAAAATTTTAGGATTGCGGGTTCAGGATCTGGCCCGGAATGTTTTTAATTTTCTCACGGAGTCAGTCTGATTCCAAAATGGCGTCTAGAAGTAAAGTTGAAAAAGTGTGACACAGTGACACACTGACATTCGCATTTATTATATAGAAGGCATTCCTTCCGATTAAATATCAGTGAATATCACGAAGTAAGCATTTCCTGATTTTGCTCGTTTCTAACAAAGTTTTTCAAATTTGTGGATCTTGGGAGGACTTCATGCAGTTGTTTATATATATATATATATATATATATATATATATATATATATATATATATATATATATATATAAAAACGTATTAATTTCTGCCCACAGAAACTCTATTTTTTTTTTACTGATTTTAAATGAATTTAGATTATCTGCAGTAAAATTCTGTAATAAATCATCTACAATGGATTTACATTATATATTTAATAACTGTTTTCTGTCAATGTGGATGCGCAGTTATATAGCTCATATCAACGCGAAAAATATAATTGGCGAGTCAAGTTCAAACTCACTTTCGCACAATTACCCCTGGGGAAAGGCATGGAACCCGTAACCATGAGTTAAGCCGCAGAGTAAACTGGACCCTCTAACCTTTTGTGGTAACTCTGAATTCTAAGTTAACGGGAAACCACTCCACTGTCTTAACCAAGAATGCATGGTAATTTCCTTAAAGAGAAAGAAATCATATTACGTACATCATGACATGGCATAGCATTAAAAGAAAATTCTATCAGTAAAACTTGCATTCGTTTCTGAACAGTAACAATCACTTTTTATTCTGAATTCTTAATGTGCTTATATTGTAAATTTCTTTGTAATGAATTGCTGTAGTAATTTACAAGAGGATGCACGGTGGAATAATGAATAGTGGCTCTGGATTGAGGAATCGGACAGCCGAGTTCGAATTCCAGTCGAATCCATTACATTCACTTACGTGCTAATACTCTTGGGAAATGTATTAATCATCAGATATGGGTAAATAGCAAGACAGACCGGGTTGGATGGCAACTGGTCTACCTCAGAAAGAAATGGCAACCTACTACAGGAAAGAATCGGCAACCTACTACGGGAAAGAATCTGCCTCGTCAGTCATGTATCAAAAGATACATGGTCGCCTAAACGTGTATTACGCATGGCACATTGATTGACTGAATTTAGAAGACTTACATTATACGCATAGTTTTGTATATAAATCTTGCATTAATTCCTGACAACTGGCAATCTTTTTTTTATGGTTTTCAATGCACTAGCTGTCGAAATTTGCTTCAAGAAAGTTAAAGTACAAAAACAAAAACAAAATTCGTTGCTTAACCATTAAATTCATTCCCTGCCGTGTTTGTTAATACAGGAAATGACAACGGTAATTTTAATATTAGCCGTTACCTTATAAGGTAACATTCGATATATATTGACCAACCAGCCATTGTTACATTCGATTGAAATTTATAAAACCTTTCCTTTAAAATATTTTACAGGAAATTAGATTTCTCCAGTTCCCTGTTACCGCTTTTACCTCAATCTGAAGAGACTTTTCTTCTTAACATTTTTTAAGGTAGTCTTGAAAGTCAACATATTGATTATATAATCATTTTCTTTTCTAGTTACATGTGCTATCCATTTTAATTCTTGCCGTTTTCTTTTTATTTGGTACAGTTCTTTGTGATTCTGTAACGAGAGTCCACAATCTTCGAAGAAGGATGTTGTTTTTTCGCTCGAAACCATTTTTAACCTTTGATCTGGGAAGGCGGTTGTATGCAGCCGACTGTTTACCTACTCCTGAAAGAGTTTACTGTCATACCTGAACGTACCTATTCTATTGTAATAGACTCTCCCACACATAATAAGTAGTAGTAGGAGTAGCGGTCGCCAGTTGGGCTCAGTGGTGTTGAGCGAGTCAGTCGATGTCGGACATTGAAGTATCAACCATCACAACTAGATTGCTGCGCCATTAACTCTTATTTCAAGTTCCTAAGGTTTTGTAGGTCGGAACCTAATTTAGGACGAAATACAAGCCTCCACTGTGAAAATTACTCACAACATTTACCGGCATACATGATATCCATATGAAAGTCTTGATCTTCTTCTTTTTATGTGCCATGTTCTTTCAGGATCTTTCAGGCGGTCATGGCTCTCCACCTCCCTCTATCCTTTGCAGCCCTCAACAAGTTCCTTACCTCTACTTCCTCCCCCAGACCATCTTCTGTCATCCACCTGCTCAAGCTCGCCACGTATGTCACGCGCTGCTTTCCCTTGTTTCTCTTCCCTCTATTCGACCCGTTAGTATCAGATTCTCCAGGCCCACCTTCCTCTTTGTGTCCCAGAAATATTCGAGATTTTAGGTTAATGTAGCAATTTGCGGCATTGGGCGATACTTTCTCTAGTGCTGCCTATTCTATGTTCATTTTAATTCTCTCCTAGACTTGTGATTTTTCAAGCTTAGCTTAGATGTGGCACAAGGACGAAAGTATGGAGCACCCAGTGAGAACCAAACTTTCTCTCCTAGACTAAATTTGTTATAACTGATCCATACACTGGAGCATTTGAAGCGTTTAGTATTTACTAAATAAATCTAATTGGTTGAGTAGTGGTAATGTAAATGGGCAGAATTAAGAAAGGCTGGCAATTAGCTGAAGTGTATCGTATTCAAATACAGTCGGCGCCCAAATAAAACTAGATATAATTTTTTTTCATCCCCTGTTTGTCGGAATTTGTTGTGTTTTAGATGTAGAACGAATGGAAGTTTTGATTTATTTAATAAATCCTACCTATGATATCACATAAACAGCTCGCAAGTAAATACAATTTAAATAAATGAATTGAACTTTAAAAAGAAGCACATCCGATCGAATAAATGCCTCTTTGACAGTTCTCATCAGTTTTCATTTGAAGTGAACAAAAATTACTAACCTACAGATAAAGAAATTTTGCTTGTCACCAAATCATAACGTTTTAGTCAATCGGTTAGAAATTATGGGTATTTTTTTTTTTTTTTTTTTTTTTTTTTTCTCGCATTACGCCATTATTCGAAATGGTTTGATTGTTCAGGACAGAAATGAAGAAAAGGAATTTGTGGCGACGATTGGTGAACGTTGTTTGGTTCGGACGTCGCTTTCACCATCAAGCTGGTTAACGCATCGATTCTCTCGTCTGCAATTTGCTTGTCACGTGACTGCTTCCTTTGAGTTACGAAGGATAGATTCTAAATGTTTGCTGAAAGTGTCTTTCGAGGCTCGCGTTTTCTTCTTTTCCACTTCGTTTGTGTTGTTGTTGTTGCATTTGTGAGGTTGAGTCAAATTCATGGAGGAGGGTCTCTGAGCGTGCATGCGAGCGTGCGAGCGTGCGAGCAAGCGTATATGTGTCTGCGTGCGTGCGTGTGTGTGCGCGTAACCTACTATTGTTGACTCAGAAGGCAGAATTTTTTTTTTTTTCAAAATACTACTTTTATCAACGCA